TCTTTCCTATTTTTAGTACAGTTGTAAGTAAAGATCAATGCTATAATATCAGTGATCTAAAAAGATTTAGATACTATAATTATCGTTAAAAAAAAAAATATTTTTACCGTCATTTAAAAGTATAATTATTTTATATTATATTATTTTAGTGAAATAGAAATATTTTCTTTAATGGAAATCATAAAAAAATAATTATGCATAAAAATAATAGTAGAATTTACTTATATATTATTTTATATAGCAGAATATAAAAAAATAAGTTTAATAAAAGGCAATAATAAGCGTATTATTTTCAATAATTAATGACATTAATAATTAACATTTTGCTTAAAGAAATATTAGAGTAATATTGAATATTTTGTTATAGAAATAATTAATTTATACCATAATTTATATCGAAATTTTACTGTTAGCAAAAAAATGTGTCAATAATGTTAAAATATCAAGCAGAAGGTCTGGCTGCTAAATAAACGAAATATCGAAGGGAATATATTGATGTATATATAGTTTGCTAGCATCATTATAGGATTCTCAGTCTCGAATAATATTGACGTTACATTCCGAAGCGACGTGTCCAGTTTTCTGTATCACGCGCGATATCGTTTTTGCGATACATTGCAAAGTCGGACAGAATATCATTACCATATGGTTAACTCGACAGATAACCACGTTTCAACGAGCTGTCCCTCGGCTTAACGATACTTTCCGCTCCTCCGCGATGACAGTACGTTACATTGCTTTTACACGAGCTTCTTCCTATTCTTGTTTTTATTGTACATGTTAATTTTTTGCTTTTAAGACAGTAATAGATATGTAGATTTATTAAGAATGCGAATAAAAGATTATCTGTCCATTTTATGAGAAATACATAATGGACAGATAATATGCAGATATGCAATAGTTTACGATTGTTCAGATGCATAAAGAGGCAGTATTTCTCATTTTCTAAATTTTATATTTTACATTTTATTGTCAATATTCCTGCATTGCTTCTCTTTGCATCATCGTAGCAGCTCGTGCCACGCGCATTCATCCTTCGTACGGGCTGAAACACGTCAATTGGCGGTTTTACGAAGCTGGCTCAGCGACCGTGTTCCGCGTGATTTATAGCCGCGAGATGCCCCGATTTCTGATGTATCGTCCTAGAACGGGAGCCTCATTATTCCGTGCACCCTGTAATTTGTCCATTCGTCGTGTGCCCGGGCCCGACCCGAGGTGAAGATTCCACAACTTTCTCGGAACGCTGCCGTTGTGGAAGGTGCGTTTTCTCGGCGCACGAAATATTATATTATACGTGTACGCACCTTCTCTCGCTGCCGAAAGGATTCTGTTTTAATTGCATAGCGGTATCTTATGTTAGAGAATTGCATCCTTTTAAATTAATTTTAAATTATGAAGATTAAGTCGGATTGTATCCTCTTTTTTGGAAAAACTGATAGAATATATAACATTATTTATTTTTCTATATCATTTTTTTAATATGAAATCAGAATCTTTAAAGATATCTAATCTTTAAGTAGCCTTTTTTTTTTTACTTAAGTTAATTCTGGGAGCATTTATGATTTCATAATACCACGTGCGTTTTTCTTTGCTGCGCTAAAAAAAAACTTAGGTGCTAAAAGAGAATACTCACGTCTATATAAAGTATGTAATTCTGTTTTGTAGAATACGTTTTTGGCATGATTGAATTGAGTTGTTTGATAGCAGAATCCGCGACCATTTTTGTCTCGTGTTTCATCCAACTCGATTAATTCGTCTGTTAAAGCTTTCCACGTGCGAGGAGATTGATGTTGCTCGTGCTCGAATGTAATGAGCCACGGTAAAAAGAGAAAAAGTCAGGGACGTCTGAAGACATTTCATTAAGATGATTTTTCAAACAAGTTGCACGGAGATGTCAATACATAAAGATTGACCTTACTAGCGTATACTTTTGTAATAAAATACGAAATAGCGATATTTTACAAATTTCTTTGACGCGACAAAAAAATAAAAAACTTAATAATATATTTTAACAATAAATCTTTACTGTCAAGTTGTCAATAACACACAACATTAAATAATAACATGCTTATTTTTTAATATCTGATTCGATAGTAATAATCTTTTTAAATATACTAACACACGTGCTCTCTCTCTCTCTCTGTCTCTTTTTCTAAAGAATGGCATTATAAAGCTTAAAATAATATTTATAAATAATTGCTTTGTTTAAAGCAGTATTTATGAATAATTGTCATTGATAATTTTTTTCATTACGACGACGATTGTCTTTTCTACTTGATGGAGTTTTACGTAAAAACCGGATGTGTAACGTGAAGACACGAATCTAAATCAATTACTGGAATCTTATGTCTTATGCAAGAAACCCGATCAACTTAGTTATTTAAGAATTAAACATTTTGTAAGTTTCTTATACAAATCCGAGCGACAATTTATCGTCCGGCAGATGGAAGAGTGTATCGTTCAATTATCGATCTCTCGGTGAAATAATAATCACATTGCGGGTATCGTTTTCACGCAGTCAGCAATTTAAATAAATTGCTGTCATTAATATAAATTTGCGCGAAGGAATGTGAATAGTCGTCATCTTTGCGAATGACTCGTAAAAAGAATCTATAGACTAACTGTACATTTCTCGTAGTTTTCTAAGGACTAAAAATAGTTTTATGAGAGGTACTCGTAAATGTACCGTTTAATGAGATAAAGCTTTCGAAAACTGTGACATCTTATTTTCTCTATTTATTTTGCAACAATGCTATAGTAACTCAAAGAAAACAGTATCCGGAAATCTTCATTTATTTTATTTAATGTAAAGACGTATTGTATACAGTTATTTGACTTTTTTGGTATCGTAAACAGTGTCATAAAAAAATTTACGAAAATTCATAATGTTGGAAATATTTCTTTTTTTATTGTGTTATGAGATATTGTTTGACTTGATCAATAAAAATTGCCGATTAATATATGTAATATACATACGCTCCATTATAAGCAACGAACATTATAGAAATTAGCCATTAGTCGGAGTATCTTTTAAGCGGTGAGATTTGTTAATTTCGATAAATTGGAACAATTGCTCATTTTAATCTCGGCTCTCTCCTATACCTATCTTTTTTTTTTTTTACTCTTATGACTCGTGTTTTACGTTCGATTACTTGCGTGTATGCGAGATTAAAGGACCGTTAACGAAATTAAGCCGTGCGTGCGAAAACGCGTCGCTGTCGTTTAGCGAATCGTAAACCGCGGCGTGGCGTGAAATCGACGATGCCCGCGCGCAACAATAAGAGCCGGCTGAAAGAGAGCGGGGGAGGCAAAAAGAGAGTGAGAGAGAGAGAGAGGGAGGGAGAGAGAGGGAGGGACAGAGAGGGAGAGAGAGAGACGGAGGGAGAGAGAGGTAGAGA